TCATAGCTAATGAAGGTCCCACCTGCCCCTGAGTCGATGATGGCGGTCGACTGAACGGTTTTGGCACTGCAAGAAGAGAAAAGTGTCACCGGGACACGAAACTCGTTGGATTTACCAACAGCTTTAGTATACAATGCGCAGATAGAGGGAATTGACCGTTCGACAAGCCCTCTCTTTAAAAATCCTTTCTTTTGACAAGGTTGACTTCCATGTCTTCCTCGTCAGAAGACTCGTCAAGCTGGCGGACGCCAGACTTGCTTGGCTTCTTGCCTTTGTCTTCTTCGTCGTTCTTGTCTCCTCGGCGCACCTTCGGGTGGAACCGGGAGTCGTTTGCTCGATGGCCCTTTTCCTTGCATTTGAAGCAAAGGCCTTTATCGAAGCACTTCTGTCGTTCCTCGGGCATGAGGGAACGATCAACGTCCATAGCATCAGGATCGCGTTGGCGAACCTGAGGCTTGGGGACGTGCCGGTGCCCGGAAGGGCGTACCGATCTGTTGTTGGACACAACTGCTCTTGATCGCTTGTAGTTGGCTTCCAACTGTGTCGCGGCAGTGTACCATTTATCGATGGTGTTGGGGACGACCTCCTTCGTGTAGATGGCGGTTCGAAGTCCTGGTTTCAACCCTCGTTCGAAGAAGTGGATGAGGGCGACGTCCTGCTTGAGACTAGCAGTGGACGACAGGGTTTTGAACGTTGCGATGTAGGGCATCACGTCGCCAGTTTGGGTCAAACCATGAAGCTTGGTTAGAGCCTCAGTCATCCGGTCGACCGGGTGGAAGGATTCGGTGAAAGCCTTCCTGAAGTCCTTCCAGCTGCCGAAGTCGACGGGGGTTTTGTCGAAGGCTGCTCGGTAGAAGGTGTCAGCCCAGACGCGGGCGTCTCCATCGTTCATATACTGGAGTGCAACAGCGACCTTGGTTTGGTCGGAGCTGTAGATCGTCGAGTTGATGAGGAAGTATGTCTCCACCGAGTACATCCAGCGCTCGGCATCATCGATGCTTCCTCCATAGTTCTGTGGTACTCCAGCCTTTAGTTCAGGCCTGGATACGACCACTGTTGGTTGTGGGGTGGGGCCTCCGGACATTCTTGTTCCAGGGTTCGAGTTGAGGTTGCCGTACGGTTGTTCGTCGGGAAACTCGTCGGAGGACGTATGGTCTTCTTCCGATTCTTCTTCTTCGGAGTCCGGAGTGTTGGGATCGCGTTCCCAAGGGTACTTCGGGATCCAGGTAGTCGTGGTGTCTGTCGGTTAATGGCCGTGCGGATGGCAGGGCGCAAAAAGGGGAAACTTGAATCTTTTGTTACGCACTCAAATAGATCTGTTATGCGGAGCCCTAAGAGGGGCGTCGTCCGCTAACGTTCGTGACGTAACCGGAAGGGTCCGGTGTAGCGACTGAGACTGGCGACGTCGAGTCGGCAGATATCAGAGACGCGCGTGTCACGTGACTTCTAAGACGGGTGTCTTCAAAGTCACTGACAATCTCAAAGTAAGGACAGTCTTGTCCGAACGATGAGGTGGTCGATCGAGGTAGACTTAGGCGCGATGAGCACCTAAGAAAAGATACTAGAGACTGAAGCTGAGGGGGCTTCAGAGGGAAGTATGTTCGAGGGAAGATTGAGTAGATTCAAGTTAGGGAATCTAGTACAGAGTGACCGACTACTTATACTAAGTGGAAAGGGTTAAGGGCAAGGCTACCGTACTGTAGGTAAGGGCAAAGGGGAAACGGAAAGGGTATAGGTACGCTGGTAGCAGAGCCTGATTAGTGATGTAAGGTCGAATGCGGAATGAGACCGAGAAACGTTGGAACGATCCAACGGTAAATGATACAATGTGCATCATGCACGAGTCAAAGGAAAGATAAGACAAGATAAGGAAAGCCACATTGGTGGCACGAGTCAGAACGAGTCATAGCCCGAAGGCACGTGCGCACGTTGGTGCGATAGGAGGGGGATGAGGGACGGGAACGGTCCCGAGGATCCGGTCAACGGATAGTCGGTAGAGAAGTGCGAGCCGGAGGCATACGAGGGCGAGGACGAAGGGGAAAAATGATAGGGGGGCCATGTAGCCGATGTTACTTGTAACAGAGGGGTGTCGTCCACTAACGTTCGTGACGTAACCAGAAGGGTCCCGTGTAGCGACTGAGACTGGTGATGTTGAGTCGGCAGATATCAGAGACACGTGTGTCATGTGACTTCTAAGACAGATGTCTTCAAAGTCACTGACGTTCTCAAGGTAAGGACTGTCTTGTCCAAACGATGAGTAGTCGATCGAGGTAGACTTAGGTGCGATGAGCACCTAAGAAAAGATACTAGAGACTGAAGCTGAGGGGGCTTCAGAAGGAAGTATGTTCGAGGGAGGGAAGATTGAGTAGATTCAAGTTAGAGAATCTAGTACAAGGTGAATGACTACTTATAATAAGTGGAAAGGGTTAAGGGCAAGGCTACCGTACTGTGGGTAAGGGCAGAGGGGAAATGGAAAGGGTATAGGTACGATGGCAGCAGAGCCTGATTAGTGATGGGAGGTCGAATGTGGAATGAGACTGAGAAATGTTGGAACGAACCAACGGTAAGAGATATAATGCGCAGCACACATGAGTCAGATAAGAGATAAGAGCAGATAAGGAAAGCCACATTGGTGGCACAAGTCAGGATGAGTCATAGCCTGAAGGCACATGTGCATGTTGGTGCGATGGGAGGAGGATGAGGGACGGGAATGGTCCCGAGGATCCGGTCAATGGATAATCGGTAAAGGAGTACGAGCCAGAGGCAGGCGAGGACGAGGATGAAGGAAAAATGATAGGGGGGCCAAGTAGCCAATGTTACTTGTAACACCCTGTTCCAGACCAAAATCTGGAAGGGGGGGTTCCCCCCTTCCAGACTCAGATTGTCGTTCTAAATGACATTTCAATGTCCACAACAAGCGTCATCCCACACAAACAAACATCTGGTAAGTCTGTGCACACTACATTCTGCACCATGCATGCTCCCATTCATGCCAGGGCTTCATTTACAATTTTTCAAGGTGATTACAGTGCATTGTCATGTGATGTGGTGAGGGTAAGAAAGGACTCAGGCATTGTTACAATGTTTTTCATATGTCCAAGTCTCTCGGATCTCTCTTTTATGCTAATTGGTGATCGCTTCAGGTGTATGCTACATTCTGCACCATGTGCAACGTGCTATGCACCTGGCAATAAAAAGTGTATTGTCAGAATTTCCTTATTTGTATTTCAACGGTTTGCAACCGATTTCAACTTTCAAATGCAGCGAGTGTCTTTAAATAGGTTGCTATGATAGAGTCGTGATTTCAGGGTGATTGCAACCGAATTGCAACCGAATTGTGATGGAATTGGAATGGAATTGTAGTTTTTATTTAAATGGAATTAATCTTTCAAACCTCCAATTTTGTCCCATTTAAATAACTGTTGCAAGCATCATTGTCAAGCTCATTGTCAGGCATTGCGACACATAACGATCATGATCAGAGCATTAAAATTTTTCTATTGGATTGCAAGCCTATTGTACAAATTTTTATCTACAATAATTAGGTCTTGTAAATACAGCCAAGGCAATAATAGTGATAGCAATATGCTCCTGGCTATACCGACAATCAGAACCGGAAGGATATCAAGGAGCAAAAAAATTGACTTAATATATAATAATATTACCACCAGGGGAGACCAGGAAATAGTTATCTGGTATTGAGGTTTGGAGGTCATGGGGGACAGCATCAGCTGCATTATTAGAAGGGCGGTCTGAATGTTGTAGTTGGAAAGGGTATGGCCATATTTGAGCTGCTTGCTGGTGAAGATGAGATGCTGTTGGCAAGGGGGGACATGCCTTCATGAATCAATGGTGGAAGAAGACTGCCTGTTAGCATCTTGACAAAGATTTGCATGCCTCCACAGAGACGCAAGACTGAGTGAAGGAGAATGTTGTTGTTGGAAAAGGTGTGGCTGTCTTTGAATTGCTGGTGAAGATGAGACACTGTTGGTCAGTATGGATATGCTCCTGATCCTGGATCTAAGACTTGCCTTCAAGAAGACTCCACCTCCGACATGGTGAGGGTCTTGACAAAAATCTGCATGCCTCCATGGAGACGCAGGACTGGGTGAAGGTACCGGACTCCTTCTGGATGTTGTGGTTGGAAAAGGTATGGCTGTCTTCGAATTACCAGTGAAGATGAGATGCTGTTGGTCAGTAGGGATACACTCCTTATACTGGATCTGAGACTTGCCTCCATGGAGACACAGGACCGGGTGAAGATAGTGGACTCCTGCTGGATGTTGTGGTCTGAGAGTGACAGATTCAGACCATCCTCGAGCTGCTTGCTGAAGGCATACACAATTTCGTCGTGTTTGGATAGAGAGCCTAGCTAGAATAATAATATGGTGAGTCCTCGTAGTCGAATGATTTTAAAAACAAGACTCACATTTCTTGGGCTCTTGTAATGTGAAATGACATTCTCATGGTGAGCAGGCAATCTGATAATTCAGAGAGATGGCAGCCTCCATGGATAGGATCGCCCTCGGACATTTCAAAGATGTATATGCAGGTCAGAACCCCAGGGCGAAGGTTCGTGAGAGTGGGCATTATGACCAATTGTCATTGTTTGGGGTGGGCGAGGGAGCTATGGACAAGATGTGCGAGACGATGCGGAAAAGAGATAGACATTTGTTAGTCGGCTGTGCTTTCAGTGAGGAATTTTCAGGCAAAATGGACGGATACGAGGAACATGCCACAAAGCGGGATGTTTGAAGTGGTGATTGGTTTATTATATCAAGATTATGTAATATTAGTAATACCAATGGAATTGCAAGACTCCGGCTGAGCGCTGCAGCAGCTGATGATGCATGTCCTAATATCACTGTAATCTGAATCCAATAACTCTGTCAATTCCAAGGAGTTGCATATTCTAATGTTACAGTATGATTCACAGTCCATTGACAAGTAAGTAAACCGATGACGGGCTAATACAACGAGTAGGCACAGGATTCATAAGACTATTTGTGAGTCTGCCGAGTAGTACGATCGGAAGCCATCGCTGGTGTGGCTGCCTTCCTCCCTCTATTTTTCAACTTCTTAGACCTCCCTCTAGTACTGCTTGGATCATTTGCCACCTCCTGGAGTACCTTGCCTGATGAACTGATGGCTGCAGCTCCCACAACATGAGGTGTTGCAGCATCCTCCAAATCTGCAGCAGTGCCGTCATTGGTGGCCACATTGTCGACAATGGGGCCAGGTAAAGTTTCTGTGGTGTGCTGCCGCTGTGTGGAGAGGCTAGGCTGTGAGATTGACTCATTGACATGTCTATCCAAGGCAGCAGTGGCTGTGGGAGTTCCTGGACCTGTTATGTCTGCCGCAGTTTCTGATCCATCATCTGAACTTTCCATGTTAAGCACTGCAAGTGCATGATCAATCACATCCATGAAATCTTCATGTACAGCAGAATCCAATGCCAAAGGTCGTGCAGCTTTGAAGATGTAGTTGTTGATATTACTTACAATCTGTACAATGCACTTCGTCTTCCACTTGGTCACTAGAACTTTCTTGTAGGTGAAAAATAAATTTTTGTAGCTAATTGTTGACCTCTTGACAATGCCCGCACTCGAAAATTCAGTGTCTGGAGACAGTAAGAATATTGCCTACAGTAGTGTGTGAGTGCGACTGCCAATAAAACTATGACTAGCTTACAAGAACTGCAGCCCAAGCTATGGAGCCCAGTGTGACCTGCTAAATGCTCCATTTCATGGAGTTGGTATGTGCACCACCGCCACTGGAAGTGTGATGGAGGGATGTGATACCACGCAATGAAGCTTTCAGAATCTGAGGATGTTCCTGGTGAGACAGACAGCCAAATCAGAGAGCACCACTAGACTTACTTGTACCAACAGTTGCCAGTTTCTGAAGACAGTCTTGAGTGATCGGTCCTCTTTCAACTCTGGGAATAGCACTGGAGGGAATGTTTTGTATGCCAGGTTTGTTGAAGACGTGACCCCAAAGAGTTGTTGGATCTCAGGGACATTAGCTCTATCGTAGCTAGTGTTGGTGAAGTATTTTGAAGGGAGGTCAAAAATGTCGCCAGCAACACCCCGAAGTTTCTTGATCTCGTTAGCACAAGCATCTGGGATGGATTTCATCACCTACAATAATCATATTATATTGTGCAGAAGTCCAGGAATGAGAGTTCACTTATGAGATCGCTGAAGTATGAACTTTCCATCACTTTGTGTAATGACTCGGGGAAGTGACGATAGAGCTCGTCCAGAAATGCTGACTCTTGAGTAGATGCAGTTGTATATCGTTCAGTGCTGTCAAATGGAGTTGGCAAGTCTGGAAGGCGCTTATTGAGGAGGTCGCTGCTGGGACACATATTACAGTGACCTATCTCCATATAATACGAGGGAATGGACGTGCATAATATCCCGTATGATACGGGCCAGTGGACCATGGGCCCAGGATAACAATATCCTCAACTATGATGGATGGGCCGGGAGGCAAATTATTCCCGATGGAGGCGGGTGGACCCATGCAGGAAATATATAGAGTAGATGAGTGGGCCGATGTACATGAATATTAGGTAGACGGGTGGGCCGAGGTAGTTGGATATTATGCAGATGGGTGTATTAAGGTAGATGTGTATGAGATAGATGGGTAGGTACTTGTTATCACATTCACGGGTGGGCCCAGACACATATTAAATTAGATGGGTGGGCCGAGGGTATCATAAAATATTGTATTAGACAGGTGGGCTGAGGGTATTATAAAATATTGTATTATATGGGTGGGCCCAGACGCATATTAATTAGACCGGTGGGCCGAGGGTGGTATAAAATATAGATGAGTGGGCCCATGTGTATCATAATTGTAGACATGATGGAGCTGAGGTAGTTGTACATCAACCAAATCAGAGGAGGTAATAAATCAAAGTTACCAAGTTCCCGGAGCATCAGGTGATCTCCTGACATGGCTGTGCGAAGCTTGTGTTGCCCTACGAGACGCCAAGTTCCGACCACCAGAATTTGAGTCAACTGTACCGAGTTCCGAGTTCCGGGACCCAGAACTCAACACATAATTTAGTTAATACTTTTTGATGGTGCACAGGTTGTCTTGCAGAACGTGGAATCCGGGGTGCGAGGCTTGTGTTACCCTATGAGAAGCCAAGTTCCAACCACCAGAATTTGAGTCAACTGTACCGAGTTCCGGGACCCGGAACTCAACACATAATTTGGTTAATACTTTCCGTGTTAAATGGCCAACCGAAGTTGAGATGTTTCTGAAGAGAGCAGCAGGTGCTCTTTTGACATGGCCTTTGATGGTGCTTAGGTTGTCTTGCAGAATGTGGAATTCGGGGTGCGAAGCTTGTGTTGCCCTATGAGAAGCCAAGTTCCGACCACCAAAATGTGAGTCAACTGTACTCAGAGGAGGTAATAAATCAAAGTTACCGAGTTCCCGGAGCAGCAGGTGATCTCCTGACATGGCTGTGCGAAGCTTGTGTTGCCCTATGAGACGCCAAATTCCGACCACCCAAATATGGGTCAACCATACCGACTTCCGAGTTCCGGGACCCGGGAGTCGACAAATGAATATCTGATGACCAGCACACTTCCAATCAGGTAGTATTTCATTGAGCAATGGATAATAATACAGCTTTGACAGCCAAAATTATCCTAGGCTCCCTTATCTGATCCTCTCTATCTCCACCCCCTATAACACCAAAGTCCAGACATCCAGCATTCAGCGTCTGATTTCCCAAGATTAACATCCAGCATGAACGGTTCTTCCCCTTCCCCTCCTGATAGCATAAACATCTGGCACACTTGGGCCCTGACTGTGACTTATGAAGCAGGGGAATATACCGAACAGAAATTCAAGGCAGAGAAGACTGGAGGAGGCCCAGTCATACCTTCCCCCAACCTAGACACTGATCTGGTGATGGCATGCGATCACTTGGCTGATGTACTCATAAAGGCATATAAAAATCCCAGTGGATCTTCGTGCAGATTCAGAAAATTCGTTTTATCATTCAAATTCCTGCATGACAGTTCAGATGCAGATGGATATTGCAAGATATAGCAAATTGATCTCCCCAAAGGACACCGGGCATAATGAACATAGAGAGGCAAGGTTGCTTGAGAGGTGTCCTCCTGGCCATGAAGGCAAAAGGTTGGTCGACGAACCTGCCACAATTGTCGATGCATCCGGTGCCATCATTGCATGGTACCTCCCAGACGCCCTGACTGACACCATCCAGGTGTGTAATATATATTGTTACTCAATGGATATTGAATATTAATGGAACCTACAGAAGGAAATCAGGGAGGCCACCGATTTGCTCGCTCCAAGCCTCGAAAAAAGTGTAAGGGCTGATGGAAATTGGCGAACTAATCAAACATTGTTCAACCGGGGCTCAGAAGATGTTGGACCAACTCCCGGATGCATCAATCTATCTCCGGCATGGTTTCAACAGGGACACGAGGTAGGATCTGATGGGATGGTGATTCCGGCAGTCATACTCACCAATCCCAAAGAATGTGTCAGATCCGGAGGTATCTGCATCATTGAAGGGACCTTCCTGCGAGAATATTCTCAAAGCCATTGCAAGGCCAGCAGCCATCGCGTCCGCGGCACTCAGAGTCATGCATCCTGAGTAGTACTGGGCAGGATTGAGAACCTTGTCAAACCTTGGAAATATAGCAGTAAGCAAGGATCTGCCACAGATGCCGGAGGCCCTGCAGTACTGGGCATCCATGTTTAACACCCTCTCCATCATTTCCAATCGGGAAACCCCCATCATCGAGACCACATGTCCATTGCTGAATGCTTCGACATTCTCACCACCGTGGGGAACTATTCTAATGCTCAGATGACAATGCCAAGCCTTCAGCTGGAGTTCAAGTACAATTCCGGCTGTATGATTGCGTTTTCCGGAAGGATTGTGAGACATGGAGTTTATGATGTGGAAGGGGATCAGATTGCTTGGGCATGGTATATGAGGGATGCTGTTCACATTTACGCTGGTGTTCCATCATGTGGATGGGCTAGTGTGGATGGTCCATACAGCGTGTGAAAGATCAAACAAAGAGCAAGCATTGTGACCTATATACATTCCAACAAATGAATACCATGTACCAATAGTTATCCGGACCTTAATACTCAATTTTGAGCATTTGCAAAGTGATATGTGGGACTGAATAATTTGGATGCAAGCCTCAGTATTCAATAATTGGAACTCGTGACTTGACATATGGGAGTCCCAGGTGCCGGGTTACTGAGTCCCAATACCCGGACCTCAGCACGTGATATTTGAGACTGGGGGAAGATGTATAAATACGCTCAAATTAACATTTGTTATTGCCATACACATTTGAAAAAACCCTGAGCCCCGACATTGTGGACTCCGGACTTGACACTGTTCTGAATACCGAGTCCCGGACGCCCAGGTCCTGAGTCCCAAATTTCGGAGGTCGGGGTTCAGCAACCCAGAGCTCGGCAACTGTGTTGGGTGTCAGGGTATCCAGAGCATTGGAAATAGCATGTGTCAGTATTTTGTGTTTCATGGTTCATGTTTCGTGGTTATGGAATCGGGCGTCAGGGACTTGGTATTGAGAACAGTGTCGAGTCCCAGGTCACGAGCTCTGAGTCCCGAGTGCCGAACCCCAGGTCCCGGGTCCCGAGTCCTGAATTTCGGAGGTCGGGGTTCGGCGACCCGGAGCTCGGCAACTGTATTCGGAGCATTGGAGATAGCATTTGTCAGTATTTTCCATTTCATGGTTCATGTTTCGTGGTTATGGAATTGGGTGTCAGGGACTCGGTATTGAGAACAGTGTTGAGTCCCGGGTCATGAGCTCTGAGTCCCGAGTCCTGAACCCCAGACCCAACAGTTGCCGAGCTCTGGGTCACTGAACCCCGACCTCTGAAATTCGGGACTCGGGACCCGGGGTTCAGCACTCAGGACTCAGAGCTCATGACCTGGGACTCAACACTGTTCTCAATACTGAGTCCCTGACGCCCAATTCCATAACCACGAAACATGAACCATGAAATGGAAAATACTGACAAATGCTATCTCCAATGCTCCGAATACAGTTGCTGAGCTCCAGGTCGCTGAACCCCGACCTCCGAAATTCAGGACTCGAGACCTGGGACCCGGGGTTCGGCACTCGGGACTCAGAGCTCGTGACCTGGGACTCGACACTGTTCTCAATACCAAGTCCCTGACGCCCGATTCCATAACCACGAAACATGAACCATGAAACACAAAATACTGACACATGCTATTTCCAATGCTCTGGATACCCTGACACCCAACACAGTTGCCGAGCTCTGGGTTGCTGAACCCCGACCTCCGAAATGCGGGACTCGGGACCTGGGCGTCCAGGACTCGGATGTGAGATTTTTGAATGCATAGAATATGTTACATCTTGTATACAATGAAGACTGAATGGGACTACACTCCTTTGCCTTTCCTCAATTTCTCTAACATGTCAGTGTACATCTTCACCTCTCCCATCTTGGCTTTGATGCCCTGATCTTGCTCCTCCATCAATGCTTCCATGCGTTCTTTAATGAACCTCAGTCCCATAAGTGGTGGAGTCGAAGTGTTTTTCAACTTCTCTGGAAGAACCAAAGCATCATCCTCAACATTAAGCTGAAACAGATAAGTCATAAATCAAGGTAATTCAGCTAAGATCTTACCGCCCAATACTGGTAGTGAGAGACACAGGAAGCCATTATTTCATCCCACTGCCATGGTTGACCAGGGATTGTGGTGTTTCCCATCCACCATGGACATGTATATGTGAACACAATCTGGGACGGATGTCCTGCAATTGGCTCATCATGAAATGAAAGGAGGTGGAATGAAAAGACGTTGTCCGGAACCGTGTTCCAGGTTAGCATGGGATACAACTTAAGGATATAAGCGACAGGGACCGGAACCACCGACACGATATTCTGTGAAGCAGAGTACTGCAGGAGTGGTGTGAAAAAAGTCTGCTCAAATTCTTAGCATTGACCAACAAAGTCATCAGGGCAGTGGTAACATACATTCATCTCCCATTGCAGCCCAGCTTTAGAATACTTGATCTGGTCAGAAGATACACCATTGTTGGCAGCTTCCGTCCAATATTGAGAGATGCATGCATGGACGCGCGATCCAGATTGAGATCACTTCCTTCATAAACTATACTTCATAATACTTTGTCAGACTCATTTAAAGTAGAAGTAGGATATATCACCTTCGTAATGCAGTGCGAGGCTGCCTCCCACATGTTGTGGATATCCTTGTGGTTTTTGAATGTGAACTTCTCCTTGCCCACAGCACAGCGGTGACATAGCTTGATGAACTGATCAGATTGTTGGTTGTTAAAGCCAACCTCGAGCATGATCTCAGCAATTTTGAATTTGAGCCGAGATTTGAACGGACGCCAAGGTTGGCCATCAGGTGGGGGGGCAAGGAATTCTGAGGCATGACACTCAAAGCTATCAAAGCTGTATACCTTGGCCTTGATGCCGCTACTCAGATGATACTCAATCTTGATGTTGTCTTGATTGAAGGTGGGGACTGCAGCCATGACTTCCAGTTCATTAAGTGCAGAAGGGCCTGTATTGAATAGGGTACATGGCCCAAGTGTTAGTGAGATCAATGAAAACAATTAAGTGTCGACGACTCACCTGGACCGGTCACTGGATCATCATGACTGAAGTCCACATTGAGGAATTCTGCGTGATTTTGTGTTTCAACTGTGAGTTTGTGAGTGCCGTAGATAGCATAACAAAAACAAAATACTATGACATACTGGGTACAGGGATATGAATAGCTGATTGAGGTTTGTCAAGTCTCAATGACAAATCCGACACTGTATTTTGATACAATTAGCTTCGACAATACATCAAGACAAAGATAAAACAGATGCATCTTGCTCCTTGCGAATCACATCTACAACCACCTGATCCCGCTGTCTTTTGGCTGCCTTCGTCTCGCAAGCTTTGTGGTGGGTGGTCCATCCTTGTGGCTTGATATTCTGGTAGCATAAATTACAATACTTTGTGCGCTCTGGACCCATGTAGTTGACAGTATTGTACAGCTGTATGTAAACAGAGTTGAGGTGGGGAAATAGAGCAAGGAATGTGCTAGAATGCAAAGAGTGTACTGCAGGCGCTGATAATAGCTATGATCTAACATTACAAAGGACTTGAAATATATTGAAACTCAGCCATCAGATTACCTTATCATTTCAGGAGGCATTTCAATTGATTTCAATGGCATGCAAACAGTGTGTCAACATCACGTCATTGCAACCACTTTCGGAAATTTCTGACAATGTCTACATTCAATATACATATCACCAATCTCTCTCTAACTTCCTACAAAGCCCTGAATATTTCATTATGCAGCCCACTAGTCAAAAATTCACATACCCCCCCCCCCCTCCCCACTTCCGCTTGGTTATGGCATGATCCCACCAAACTCATATTCAGCTCCCTTCTTGCCTAGTCAGTCCTATGGTGTGCTGTCAAGGGTACCATATGAACCTGAGCAATCAGATGGCGAGGATGATGATACAATCACACGCCAGGTTCTGTTCCCTGCCCTTCACACAACCTGCACCTGCCCACAAAGTTGCTGGTAGCCGCCATCCCAATGTAGTGTCATCCCAAGCTAAAGGGAAGAGGAAGGCACTTGCCACAACTGAGCCACCAACCAAGAAAAGATTGGGTTGTGGTGGTTGTGCTTCAGGTACACCAAATTACAATGATGACAATGTTGCTGCCCTGCTTGATGCATGCATGAACTGTCTTCCGCTTGGCACAAAGGGTTGGCTTGCTGTTGAGGAAGAGTTTGCTGCATGGGCAGATAGCCATGACTGTCCCACTTGTCCCACAAAATCTCTTGAACTTAAGTTTAAGCAGGTATGTACTCTTATATACTGTGAACTCTGATACTGATATTCTACTTTAAGTTGGTTTGCACTACAAAGCCAACTGGTGATGCTGAGTGCCCTCCTTACATTGAATGTGCTCATGAAATCAACGACTGCATGAATGAGAAGGCTGGCACCTGGGATCTTGATGACGATGAATTTGCCGATGAAGTTATTAATATTGGGAGTGACAAAGATGAGCCTCAGCGAGCCGGGACACCAAAGATCTCTGTCAAGACTGAGACATGAGAGCCCGCACTTAGTATTTCCTGTTGTTTTGTTGACACACCCACTCCTCGACCTCGCACCTCACACAGCTCAGGTCTCGATCTTCTAACTTCAATCACTACTTCACTTGATCCTTGACTTCAAGCTGCTCAAGATGATGAGTGTGCTGCTTGGACTTTGCAGACCACTCAACTTGTATCTACGTCCAACCAGTTGCAAGATGTGCACATGATCATTAATATGCTTCTTGATCAGCTCTTGCAGTGTGAATGCAAGTGTGCTAATGCTGAGCATTGTGCGGACCATCTAGAGATGCAATTGGAAATGGCTCAACTTGTGAAGAAAGGTCCAGATCACCGACTGATGCCACAAACACCATGACCATGATACATACACTGTGAAAGGAAATATACTGATGGGGGAGCATGTACAGTGGCTCAAAAAAGTGTCCCAATGTTTGTAGCTTTTCATGTAATTGCTATATCATGTGTCAAGACGTGGGAATATGACTAAGCTATAGGGAGATGTCGGAAAGGTCTGCATCCCAGCTTCATTTCGGTTCCCTATACCGTGGGAAACTAATGACATTATGTGAAGATATGAGTATTTTAATTTGATGACTCATTGGGACACTTTTTTGACTTTGAGTTTTACTAATGTAATCTCTATAATTCTAGTACTGTGTGTGACCTCCTTCTGCTCCAATCACTTCTGCCACTCTTCTAAACATATTCTCTATCAATTTTGGGTATTTCTCTTTGGTGATTCCATCATACTCTGCTGTAACACTGTCTCATAGTTGGAATAGCCCCTACAGTGAATCTTGATATGCTACAAGTAATTTCTTGAGTGATTCTCAGGGGTATTCAATATGATTGATGTCTTGGGTCTATGTTGAACATGATAGAATAGTAATATCATGGTTTGCAAGCTATTGGTGGCTTATTTAGAGGTATACTTAGGGTCATTGTCTTATCACAAAACAGTATCTTCTTCATTAACTCATAACTTCTGCATGCTTCTTAGCAGACACTCCTGTCAAATGAGTATTTACTACTCTGTATTCATCCTCCCCTTTGCTTCATAGAAGATTCCCACTCCATTTTATCTCATATAGTCCTATACCATCAAGTTTTGTCTTGAAACTTAAGGTGTTTATTTAACTTTTCTTTATCTTAATGATTGTCTTATCTATTTTAATATAAATTCCTTGCCATATGATTTCATCCTATTGATTTTAACCTTATCTAACTAGATAAACCTCTTTCAGCTATTAGCAATCCGATATTTGTACTTGAAAGTAGCATCTTGTCTTTTATTTTTATAGGTTGGAGACAGAGGAATCTGTTTTTCTTGATTATAGCTTTAAGATGGGCTGTCTTGAGAGTCTGTCTGACTATTTGAGTAGAGATAGTCATAGGAATGATGGAAATAATCAATTTCATCACTTTATTAGCATCAGCAGTCTTTCCAATTAGAATATAGTGATTAAGAGATCTTAAGTCTTATAGAGCAACCTTCTAGATTGGCTACCAAATAACTTAAAGACCATAATATTACTATTCTATCATGTTCAACATAGACCCAAGACATCAACCATATTGAATACCCCTGAGAATCACTCAAGAAATTACTTGTAGCATATCAAGATTCACTATAGGGGCTATTCCAACTATGAGACAGTGTTATAGCAGAGTATGATGGAATCACCAAAGAGGAATACCCAAAATTGATAGAGAATATGTTTAGAAGAGTGGCAGAAGTGATTGGAGCAGAAGGAGGTCACACACAGTACTAGAATTATAGAGATTACATTAGTAAAACTCAAAGTCAAAAAAATGTCCCAATGAGTCATCAAATTAAAATACTCATATCTTCACATAATGTCATTAGTTTCCCACGGTATAGGGAACCGAAATGAAGCTGGGATGCAGACCTTTCCGACATCTCCCTATAGCTTAGTCATATTCCCACGTCTCGACACATGATATAGCAATTACATGAAAAGCTACAAACATTGGGACACTTTTTTGAGCCACTGTATAATCTGGGTCTCACATCAGGTATCTGACTTGTGTTTGACAAAGATTTAGCTAGCTTTATTTAATGTATAATATCAATAACATGTATCATAATTGTAGATCACATGATAAAGAAATAGATAGGCAGACTATATTTGTGGGATCTCCCAAAGCTACAATATTGACAGGTCTATGGTATTTAATTGTAATTTACTAGCATAGTGGTATGTTATTGGCAGATGTATCTATCATTGTATCACTAGCTTCCAATGGGAAGATGTCTAATCACTGACAGTGTGCCCAGAAATGATATTGGCTTATAATACCTTATCAAGATGCTGGTCTTCAACTAGATATGTCTGGTTTTAGATAGGCAGACTATATTTGTGGGATCTCCCAAAGCTACAATATTGACAGGTCCTATGGTATGTTATTGGCAGATGTATCTATGTCATGAGTTCCAAATACAAATCATTATTCATTCCTCAATTCTAAGTCCTTTAAGTGCCCAGTCATAGCGCCGGTATCTAAGAAAACATTTACCGTTGAAGAAGTTCCTATTATGGCATCTATTGTAGAATTACCAGAGTCACGTGACTTATCGGACAATGCCGAACCTGATGACTTCATACCATGCAACACTCTTGGAATGTTCCAGAGTCTTACTGCAGCTGCAGCACATGTTATGACATCATAGTTATATATAGAATTGTATAATACCTTTAATTATTCTGATTGGTTAGTTAGTTCATACTCAGTTTCAATCTCAGTTTCAATATGTGTATATAGGTAGCTCGACGTAGTCAATAGTTCTTTAGTTCAAACCTCTTGTATCTCCTAGTGAGCAATCCAAGACGTACCTGCTGCATCATCCTCTTTGTGATTATCTTGTTGTTTGAGTTCTAGTCTCTGCCTGTTACAAGTAACATCGGCTACTTGCCCCCTTATCATTTTTCCCTTCATCCTCGTCCTCGCCTTCCTCCGACTCGTACTCCTCCACCGACTATCCATTGACCGGATCCTCGGGACCATCCCTGTCCCTCATTCCCCCCTATCGCACCAATGTGTGCACATGCCTTCGGGCTATGACTTGTTCTGACTCGTGCCACCAATGTGGCTTTCCTTTATCTCTTATCTGACTCGTGCGCGCTGCACATTGTATCTCTTACCGTTGGTTCATTCCAATGTTTCTTGGTCTCTTTCCGCATTCGACCTCCCATCACTAATCAGGCTATGCTGCCATCATACCTATACCCTTTCTGTTTCCCCTCTGCCCTTACCTACTGTACGGTAGCCTTGCCCTTAACCCTTTCCACTTAGTATAAGCAGTCGGTCACCTTTGTACTAGATTCCCTAACTTGAATCTACTCAATCTTCCCTCGAACATACTTCCCTCTGAAGCCCCCTCAGCTTCAGTCTCTAGTATCTTTTCTTAGGTGCTCATCGCACCTAAGTCCACCTCAACCAACTACTCATCGTTTGGACAAGACAGTCCTTACTTTGAGAATGTCAGTGACTTTGAAGACATCCGTCTTAGAAGTCATGTGACACGTGCGTCTCTGATATCTGCTGACTTGACGTTGCTAGTCTTAGTCGCTACACCGGACCCTTCTGGTTACGTCACGAACATTAGCAGACGACACCCCTCTTAGGGCTCTGCCTAACAGATCTATTTGAGTGCGTAACACTGCCCTGCATTAATTCATTTAAGGGGTTGTGACAATCTATCATTGTATTGCTAGCTTCCAATGGGAGGATGTCTTATCACTGACAATGTGCCCGGAAATGATATTGGCTTATAATACCTTATCAAGATGCTGGTCTTCAACTAGATATGTCTGGTTTTAGATAGGCAGCTTCTGATTACAGATGTTGCCATCAATGACAGTGTGGTATGGGATGGTATTGGATTATCATGTCATATCAAGATGTTGATGTACTATCAATCATGCCTGCAATTACAGGGGTAGCTTGCAATGGTAGGCTATATAATAACTAATGTTAGAGTTTGGTATTTCACCCTTTGTCATTGTTCATTGTTCGGATAGTGCTGACTTCATATATATACCTACATTGTAGACTGTCCTCTTCTTGTCGTCTCCCGCCATGTCATAGACACTTCTTACAGTATTGTTCTCCAGCTTCTATAGGTTATGAGCCCTGACACATGCTTATAGCTGCCACATACCTTGAGCTCGAGACTTTGCTCACGACTTGACTCCCTCGCGCTTGTTTTCATCTTATCTAAACACACAATGCCTGCCATTTTCCAGACAACCCAGGTACCCTCTGCAACCTCTTTATTGAGGTTTGCTGATCTTGATGTGCACGTGCATGTACCTGGGCTTTCACGCCCACTGTAGAGACTCATGCCTCTCATGGCGTGATATGGCAGTTTTCACCAAGGAGTATACAGCACGAACTTGCAGCACCACTCTGTGTGCTATCCACAGCTATTCCTATATGAGGCACAGCTTTCCCACACAATGTGTGCCATGCGTGCACCATTCCCGCTGTAGAAACAACAATACTGAGAGGAACAAATGAAGCTCCTGACTGTATCTATAAATGTTTGTAAGGTCGTGCGTTGCCTAGTCTGCGTTACTTGAGGAGACAAGTGGGTTCGACCCTAAAGGGGAAGCGAGTGCAGCGAAGATCTAGTTTAGGTACGCGCTGAAGCGAGGTGCGAGAAAGCGCAGGTGCGCGCATTAGCGCGAAGCGCGGGAAAGTGCGCGTGCGCATGCGGAAATGAGAAAGAGTAAGTTTAAGTGAGGATATGATGTAAGACAAGAGAAGAGAGATGTGAAGTATAGACAATTAGATTTCAACTATGTTCTACTAAGTAGTAAGTGGGTAGTTACTTATGAGTTAGTGCCAAAGTGAAGTTCAGTGGAAAGTAAAAAGTAGTGAGGAGTAGTA